TTTGAGGACTTGATTTCAGCATCTAAAAATAAATTTAATAAATAAAAAAGTGTGCAAATATCCCCATCTCCAGATGAAGATTGTTGTGCTGAAATTGTGTATATTTTCTTGTACTGACTACATAAAGTTTGTATAGGTACCTGTACTTATTATGGCATGTGTAACTTATTTTTAAGGCATTGTTGAGCCAGCCATTTATTCTATTATAATAACATTAATTTTTTTCAGGCAGTGCAAGAAACACTGTGACTATAACTATGAGAAAGTTTTATGGGCACATTACAAATTTTATTGGATCACAGGAATAAAAGAAAAAAGTAATTCTTTCATGGTCTCATAGTCCCCCAATAACAGGCAGGTATTAGCTTTTCTGCTTCATTTTCTAAACCTAAAAGTTTTTTTCTGGTAGTGATTCCCCCCCACCACCACCAACAACAATTGAATATGCTTTTCACTTTTTAAAATGAAAACTAATAATTTTTACAGTTTTGAACAGAACTTTCTCTGATGAAGTTTTTTTCCTACTCAGAAGTTTCCCACAAAGTAGGAAAAAGAACTGAGCTATTTCCTTAAAGGAATGATGAAATCACAGTCCATAACGTGCTAAACTGAAAATTGTCTCCCAAATATATCAGTTTCTAATGCACAGAACCTGGCAATATTATCTTATATGTTAAAATAATTTTTGCAGATGTTAGTATATTAAGGATTTGGAATGGTGAGTATGTTCTGAATTGTCTTTGCAGGCCCTAAATGCAGTCACATGTGGGAGATGGAGGGAGGTTTGCCTATAGACAGCAGAGGAGGAGGTGTGTGAGCACCAAGGCAGAGATGGGAGGGATTCCATTGTAAAACAAAGAATACTAGCAGTCACCAGAAGATAGGAGAAGAATGAAATTGATATTTACCTGGAGCACTGAGGGACAGTACGGCCTATTAACACTGGATTTCTATCCAGTGATACTGATTTCCAATTTCTAGCTTCAAGAACTTTGAGAGAATAAATTTTTGTTCTTTTAGTCGTCAGGTTGTGGTAATTTGTAAGATCTTTGTCTCCTTCTATACTGGGAGGGTTAATCCTAGGAAACTTTTATGTCTCGGCCTTATTGACAACCAAATAAAACAGTTAGGAAGCAGGTAGTATTGAGGGGCATTCAGTTTATCTGTCTGGGATGATGGTGGTAGAAGCGTTATTTGCCTTGACATTTACTTTGTTACTGACATTTTCTGACTTCCTGGCTTCTATTACTGATTTTGCATTTTATTGATTAACTGAATTTTGATAAGTGACACGTTTGTAAAATACCATTATAATAGGAATAATTGAATGAGAATATACGTTCATAATGGTTTCCTTGATTTAAAGACACATTTAAAAATTGAAATATAAAAACAAATAAAGCAAGCTGAATACATAATTGCGATTTTATAATAGGTTAGCTCTAGAATAATGGATGTAAGTCATTAATTGAAAGTTAATTGGTAACATTGGCAAAGTTTATCTTGTATTTTTGGATTGCATGCTTCAGTTGATACCTAGTGTACAACTGGGATTTATTTGCACCACACCTCTGAGTCTGATAGTGTATTAAGTTATGAAGAATATTAATATTGCTGCAGAACAATTACTTGTTCATTTGCTAACTGATTAAAATTCATGCATAATTTATTGAAATGAATAGAGATTTTATAAATAAATCTTCTTGTTCTCCAGGGTCTAAAAACAAAATACACATGCTAATATAAGTCTACTTTTTAACTCCAACGTAAAAATTTTAATGTGTTGTGGTATATTAGTCTCATTAATGTAAGTTTCACTTCTTATAATCATGATGTTAAATCAATGCATATGCTTATATTCCTCTTTTAATATTGCCACAGTACCAGATTTGAGCTGTTGCTTTGATTATTAGACCAATCTTGTGCTTGACCCTAGCACATAGGATAGAAAACTGAACAGAGTGAACTACTGCCTTTCTTCAGAACACAATCCTGACTACATCAACCTTACTTGTTTTATTTATACATAATACTAGTGTTGAATATTAATTTCTGGTTTAAAATTTATCTATGCTCTGATTTAAAAAAAGAAAATAGTATCACAAATATTTTAAACTGTCATCTCTAAAAATTTTTCTAAGAATGCCTAGTTCATTGATGAAGAAAATGTAATACAAGTTAAAAGGTATATTCAAGTTTACCCTACTATTACATATGCATTTTTTGAAACCAGGCCTCCTGACTTCAAATTTCATTTTCTTTTTATGTCACTTCATTAAAGATTGAAATGACAGGAGAAATATTATGCCTGTTTCTAATGTGTTTTGCTCTAGCTTTCTCCTCCCTTTCTCTGCTTTCCATCTTTTTCTCTCTCGTTTCCTTCTTGTTTCCTATGGCAAGAGTGTTCAGGGTTTTGATGGATAAGATCTAACATTGATAGACACACATAAGGTCAGGTTTCAGAGCACCTACACATTTGTAGGTCAACCAGGGTTTGTTATTTATAATTCACTTGGTGTATTGTTTTTGTTCATTCATCATGTTAAGAATCAGACCTCTTCAGGTCATCTTTGAACTATAAAGCAAGTGAGGTATTGCTGCTCTGGGGTAGAAGCACAGTTCTATGAATTTAACACTGTTTCCTACTTTAACTTACATTAGTCAGTATATGAGCCATCTGGAAGAAAAACAAATATTGCACATTTGTGGCAACTCAGTTTATTCACAAAATACACACTGCTGCTTTAAATCTGTGTGGCATTTCGAGAGTCTGGGAGGGCATTTGCATTTTTCTATTATGTTCATTTCTCTATTCAGTTTCATTTAGTTTAGGGTTTAGAGAATATGTTAACTTTTTTTTTTCCTTCTTGTCTCCTAAAACTTCTGTAACTCTATAAAATTTTCTGTAACTCTATAAAATTTGTTGGATTTGTGAGTGAAATTTCATTCTATGAAATGTAGAACTCTGACAAATGAAAATTCTATTTTTATTTAAAAGTAGAATTTTATTAAAAATTTTATGGTTTTATTTAAACTTTCTGTTGCAGATAATTTCATTGAATCCATTTGTGAAATTGGAAATAGTTCACCTAGGAAACAATATTAACTACATATTGTTGAAATAATTTACAAAGCATAAGGAATAGATTTCGTGGATAAAGTTTATAAATCAAATGTTCAACTACTTTTCAATAGAAGTAGTTAAAATATATGCAGTATATATAGTGTAATTTTCAATCTTAAATTTTATTTTCATTTTAAACATGAGCACAGTTAGCCACAAGATTATATCATCCTTTCAGTAACTAGTTTGAAAGCTATTAACTTAATGAGCATTGATTATTGAAGGGAGATTACTTTTATTTTTAATAAGTAATTTTGGATAGGATGAAAAATGTATTACCTCTGTTATTCTTTATTACAGGATGCTGTTTGCTTCCTATATAACTCTCCATGTAAAATAATGAATTTATTGATTTATTATAATTATTTCTCCCCTACAGTATTACCCAATATGTGGAAAAACTTATTAGTAATTTGTTAATACTTGTCCTATGAATTTTGAAGGAAGATTCTTAAAAATGATCTTACTATGTGTAGAATCCCAGGCCATCTTGTCTTATCTTTTTTTTTTTTTTTTTTTTAAAGAGGATGTTTGTAAGTCAGGGATTTATAAGCTAGTAAATTTTATATCATCAGAATTAAAATGTCATCTTTGGGCTCTAACTAAAATTTGTTGATTCATTTAAACAAGCATAAGAAGGTAAAACTTGTCAATGGACTTTTTTTCCCCCCACCCCGTAGCATTTTTTTTTTCCCCTATGGAATGCAATGCCAGTAAATAGAAAATACAGTGTGAAGGATGCTGGCAGTGTATCTTTGAATTTCCTGTGTCTACATCTCCAGCCCACTCCTACCTGGCATGGGTCAGGTCAGGGTGAGAAAGTATTAGGTTGTTGCATTTCATAGTTTTTCTTTTGTGTGATTTGTTCTAACATTTAGAAATAAGTGTTAAATCAACTTGGGGGCAATTACAGTTTTATTAACAGTTTTCTACAAAGTCTTTTAATGTCCCTTAAAAATGTGAGAAACGTTGTTCTAGAAGTTCAGAGAAAACCCCACCTGATCACGTGTCCTAATTATGACTTCATGACCTAAAAAGTTCTTTGTGGACGGACCCTACAGACAGGGCTGGGGCTGTGGAGTCCTTCCAAGGCCAGGCTTTCATTTCACCTGACTTGTTGTTAAGGGGGTTAAATGTGGTCCAGTACATCATTCATCATTTCAATCAGTTCAGACATTGAAGTGATATTTCTCCAAGTTTCTTTGAAGCATAGAATCATAAGCAAGCCAAAATTAAATTACAGTGTACCTTTGACATTTGAATTTAATATGTGATACATTGCCTTATCACATGCTACTCCCAAAGGCCAGTGAATCGGAGTCATTTGTGATTTTTGCCTAGGTGTAAATTTTAGTTTCTCACTCTGGGAGGTGGGTGTAAGGGAACAGTTAAGCACCTGACATCCTCTTTCATAGTCAGCCTCATTGCTTATCTTCTGATCTCATTTATAGGAGCTCTGAAGAAGCAGAAAACAAAACAACAACAACAACAACAATAAAATACCCCTTTGCCATATTTCATAAGTGAAATAAAACAGTAAAAATCAGGTCTGCTGTTAGCTAATGAGAGTTTTTCATGTCTAAATATTTTCTGTATGTCTCTTGTTTATTGTGTCTTTACAATTTTTATCTCCTGGAAAGGCATGATTTTGATGAAAAAAATATATATGCAATATGGTCACAAGGCTTCACAGAAGTATTTGCTCTTTAAAAGTGTAGTTGCCAGACAACTTCCGTTCTGGTCTTCTGTTAAATATTTGCCATATACTAAGAAATAAATCGCTCAATAAGGCTTTGAGTTTCAAGAGGCATTAATATGTCTCTGTATTTTAATGTTTCAGATTGTTTTCTAATCAGAGCACACTCCTCTCTCCTAGAACCACCAAGACCCATTGCTCCTCCCCAGCTACTTGGTGTTGGGCCTACATATTTGTTGATTCAACTGAATGCCAATTCAATCATTGGAGATGGTCCCATTATCCTGAAAGAAGTAGAATATCGAATGACATCAGGATCCTGGACAGAAACCCATGCAGTCAATGCTCCAACTTATAAATTGTGGCATTTAGATCCAGATACTGAATATGAGATTCGAGTACTACTCACAAGACCTGGGGAAGGTGGAACAGGACTTCCAGGACCTCCGTTAATCACCAGAACCAAATGTGCAGGTAAGACTGAATAGTGGGTATTCTACCTGTGAAGGAATCTAGCATGAGATATCTAACACAAATGCAATATTTAATGATCTAATTACTTGATATATAATATCACACTATTCTAAGAAGTCCAGTGAACTAGGTAGTTACATACCTTGACTATGTCATATTTGGCTGACATAAAAGCAATGTATGTGCTTCCTTATTATTATCCTAATTTTGTTTTGAATCTAGAGTCTTGCTTGATCATTTTGGTGAACCTTCTGTGTATCTAGCCCAATCATTTCTGATAGCTGTGGATGAAAGTATTAGTGAGAGAGGAAGACCTTTCTAGTTCAAGCAAATGCTTATATCTTTTTTTTATCACATAGACATGGTCTTCCTCAATAATATTATATTCAGCCTAGAGGCCATATCATATAGTATGGATAATGCTTTGAAAAATAACTGTTCTATCCACAATATCCTATTGCTGAGAATTAGCTCAGCAGTCTGACCCTCATCTCTCAAAAACAGAAAGATTTCCTTTTATGTTTGTTATTATTCTCCCCATGCTTGAAACAGACTGGTGAAAATAACAGTATGTGAAAAAAACCCATAAAGAATAATAAGTGAAATAAAATAATATGTAATCATATATCCTAATACCTTATTACACTGTTTTTATAGTGGAAGAATTTTTAGCTATTAAAAGCCACTAAAAATTTAATAATCTAAGTGATTTGAGTGCATTTTTCATGCCCTACATATTTTATTGTTAAAAATGGTTTAATTTGTAGTTTAGTTTAAAGAGGCATTGTATATCCATCATGCATTATGTTGAAATACAGAGTTAGCACATTAATGTATGTATTCTTAACATCTAATGAGTTTATAAAAGTTGAATTCCTAAACTGAGAATCTATGAAAATGTTTATATAATGTCTTTTATTTCTTGAACATCTATAATATTATAGAGCTACTCACCAAGAATATTAATCTACAAGAAAGCAAAATCCATAAAATATTCATATATATTTTTAAATTTAGCTACATTTTTATATATTAGTTGAAACTATTTAAAGATGTTTATTAATTGAAAATACCTGGTCAACCATTAGTTTGAGATTTAGAGACTAGAGCATTCCCTAATTTGTGATTGATCCCACACTTGCTTCTGATGTTTGCAAAGCAGCTTTACCTAGAAGAGGCTGGGTGGTCTCCATGATTCAGCCTAAATCTGATAATTGGCTTTTACATAGTCTATAGAGGTACATCCTTCATGTTATAAATTACTCTTATAGTACTAGATAAACTTTTTCAGGAAGAAGCAAGTGAAACCCCACCACCTAGTCACAGAAGTCATTAACAGAGGAAACAGTATAGAAACTGAAAAGTACTTCACTATTCCAAATTTAATGTGCTAACAATGAAATGGGGAACAAAAGAGTCTGGTTTACTGAGGGCATCATCTTTGTGCTTTCTAATAAAATTGCCTTTTTACTGCACTTAGTCTTCATAATGGATATATAAATTAGACCAACCAATGATAATTGACTGCTCCGTGGTCTTCCTCTTGACTTCTTTTACCCATGCTTGTTAATCATCTGCTTTCTTGTCCTTTATTTTGAACAAAATGTCTTTAAAAATGAGCAGTGTATGTTAGTATAGTATAGTTTTTGTTTAAGCTAGGAATTATTGTAAATTGGCCTTTGGTATGACAGCTGCAGAGATTGCAGGTAAATCAGGCTGTGTTTTAAAGTTCGCTATTCTCTATTAGGTGAATGACAGCACTATGTTAATGAACGTTGATTTATCCCTGTTGAATGCTTATGTTCAGAGTGTGCATTGAACTGTAATAAGTAAAAAAAATGACTGCAAATTGATTTGAGGTACTTTATTCTGAGAATAGCCTCATCTGTGTGGGAGGGAATAAAGTAAAATTATCTTCCATGCCATAGCCACTTTCTAACTTAGAAAGTGCCTTGACACTTTGGAACCATATTGGTCTTTTTATCTGATTCTTTGGGGAAAGTTTTGTCTGTGTACTTTTTATAGAATTAAGTGGTGTTAGGCTCAATCACTTGTCATTTTACTTCCAACTATAGAAATTTTATTTATAAAACCATGTTTTATATGTGATGAATCTTTGTCACATGTGTTTATTATTGTTAATTAATGTCTTCACAAGGTGTGCCTGATGCAGGATATTTTAGGGGGTGGGGAGCGGCCGTAAGTGCTACAGACTAGATTTTCAAGTGCATTGTAGATTTGAGAGAAGCCATGGTTACCAAATTCATTAGGAAAGTCTACTAATCTTGCTCTAAAAATTGGAATAGGAGGTAAAGCTCGTGGAAGCATATGCGGTAATGATTTTTAAACAATTTTTGAAAACCAGAAGTTGAATATACTTGACAAACACTGTGTAACAAATATAAAGTCTGTATTAAAGCATGATGTCCATCTGTTTCCACTCTTTAAGATCCATTTCCCTTCAATTTAACGTAACTTAGACTTCATAGTGACACCATTGTCCTCAGCCTCGGATTCAATATCAACAAAATAGAATGCAACCTATGCTAACTCTGATATTAGCTGATATTTGATAGCCATTTGAAAAGTTGAATATTTCTTCATAATCAGGGGAAATGATCCTTTTGAGATCCCAAACATAATCTTTGGAGAAAATTGCCATCTAATTCTATTAAATTGTTCATGCCCTAGTTACCACTGTTTCTATAAGGGACACTGAGTACTAGATGTGCAGTTCATCTGGTTTTACTTCGACCTGGGTGTATTCACCTTGTAATGGCTGAGTTTTAGTATTAATATCATCTAGTTGAATAAATGTTGATTATTTTGAAGCCATGTGCGTTAATAGCATGCATGTTAGATCATCAGGAAACCTTAAAGATAAGTATAAATACTTAGCTATATATGTGAAATCATTTTCACATGGATTCTTTGTGAGTTACAGAGAGTGATGGCTACTTGCAGAAATTCTTTTATCATTTTTTTTTACTGTATCACAGAGGAATGATATTTGTCATTTTCTAAGTACCAAAGAATAACTTAGTTATTACTTATCATTGTCACAATACCATTTTAATGCACATAATTCATTAATACTTTATTTTAGGAAACAGTAAATGACTTATTGCTTGGAAGAAATTCATCAATAGATATTTTTTCTAGAAAATCAGTTTAAAGATTTTACTTATGGGTATAATGGATAAAATGTTAAATTTTCTAAAGAAAATGTAAACTTTTTATAGCTACATGTGGATTCATTTGACTTTGGAATTCACGTGAAGTGAATCTATCATGATGTTTTATGTCCACACCAATCTATCAGCTAGATATATTAGTGTCTTACTTTTGTATTTGTTAAATTTAGGACTTGGAGAGAAAAACAACATAGTTGACACTTGTTCATTATATTTTAATACCTTTACACAGTTAGGAAAACTACAGGGCAGCCTGGCCTCAAACCCATTATCAGTACTTTAAAAGCCTTAATTATTTTCCTTCTTACCCCAACACAGGTAATTTCCCTCCCTCGTAATAGTATTAAAAGGACAGCAGGTAAAATCCAGAAGACACATACCTTTTAAAAAATAGCTTCTGCAAGTCAACCTAGTTCCCAAAGAAAGCATAGTTTAATGTTTGCAGCTTCCTATTTATTGAGAGCACAGTGGATTGGTGCTTAACAATCAAATATATGCTGTGCTTAAATACTTGAAACAGTTTTTTAAAGAAGTATAAAAAAGTGTTTTTGTCCTTCTCTGATAATGTCCTGCCTGGTTGCCAAAGCTATTTTTTGTTTACTTTCTAAAGTACATTAAAATCATTTAGTAAGTGCAATTACTTGCTTCAGGGTCTCTCAAGTTAGGAGAGGTGGTAATTACAGCCTCTGGTGGCTCAGGCCACCTACGCCTGCCTCAGACTTCTCTATGAACCTGAGGGGTATTATTATTTTGCTGTTAGTTTACAGCCTGACCCATGTTGTTGTTCACATAATGCTTCTTCAGGCTTTTTATACATCTTAAAAAAATGGCATAAATGTGAAGTTGTCTTAAATGGGAAGTAATTCAAAAACTCCATTGAACCATCGGAGAAAGTATGCTTGCTTTTTTACTGTGTTTGTTTCCTCTGGGTACACCATCTGGTATAGAAGCTAAGAAAATACAGTTTCTCTTTCTCTTATTAAAGGGAAATAAAATATGCCATCATCAGGAATTGTCTGCATTGCATACTTTGGCAATTGCACGTTAAAATTGCTCTTTTAAATTGCCTTCTGCTTCTGGGTAGCCTATTGTGGAACTGCTTTATGATTAACTGACATTTTAGCAGCATCTCCCTCATAGGGAAGGTCAATAGTTCAGAGTGTCCAGAATGTAATATATTTACGCAGTTGGGAAAACTACTCTCTACTCTTATATTGAAGTTCAATGCTCTTGGCAGATTTTAGTTGAAACATGTAGGTCTATGAAGCAGTGAAAAAGAAAGTGTCTTCCTTTAAATGTAAACATTTACTAAAACTGTGTTTTTTTCTGTCCTAAATCCAAAATGGAAGGTTAAAAAAAAAAAAACAGAATAATATTTGGATATTCACCAAAAACTACAAAATGTGTGACTGAATTTTGGCCTTTTGACTATATCTTCATTAGCAACATGATAGTCATCAATCATAAAAACTAGTTATCCATTGAAATTCTGCCTAGAGTTTAAAACAAAATGAACAGCTTTTGTAAGAATCAGTTTATAGGATAAGGATGACTTACAACTTGATTTATACTGAAGGATTATATCAGTGCTTTAAAACGTATTAACTTATATGTAATCATTTGTGTGTACAATTTTGGTTTTGTTTTGCGGTGCTGGGAATTGAACCCAGGGCCTCACTCAGGCTAGGCAAATGATTTACCACACAGCCTTATTATTGCTTTTGAGCAAGAATTTTAAAAAGCAATACTACTATTATTGAAGTCAGGACAACTAGAAATAAAAATCCATAAGTAACAGAATACAGT